GGATCGAGAGGTGAGCGAACGCCGGTATGTGTTCTCTCACCTCCCGATCTACTGAGCCGACCTGTGACAGTCTCATTGTCACAGGTCGGCTAGAACTATGAGGTGAGGGAAAAGCACCCCCCCTCCCCCCCTCATAGTTCTCCTTTAACCTCGTTTTTGTCTAGGGGTATGGTGAAGGTGACATTTGCTTACCAGATCCCCGCTCCCTCAGCAGTCAGTGCTCACCTCTCTCCCCTTTGTTCTGGCCCGCGGACTGTCCCTTGGTGTCCTCACGTATGATTCGGGGCTATGACATAGACATGATGACATAAGCAAGCCTCGGAGCTCCGGGGGAAGAGGTGGCAGGTGCTGGTCTTGAAGCTGGTAAGGGAAAGTCTTTAACACAATATTCCTAGAGAAACACGAGCAGGTAACTCTTGCAATGCAGAGGTAGCCCCACTGCAAGGGGACTTGTTTTTTTTATGGAGATGGGCTTTAAATCTGGGAAAATTGTAATAATGGTACAAATCATGTTCCCGAGTGACATTTCAGTTCTGCTGGAGGCTGTGCTGTGGCAGGTCCTGGCGCACCTTACTGTTTCCTTCTCCATACTGTGAATTGAGTTTAAAACTCTTGTTATGAGGTGTGCTCAGCTCTCACCAACAGAGTACGTAAGAGATACAAGAAGCCAATAGCTAACAGAAGGACAACAAGTGTATTGTAAAGAACATCCTCCACTCTTCTGGGAAGGCTTTCCATAGGATGTTGGAGGGTGTCTGTGGGAATTTGTGGCCTTTTGTCAGACACTGATGTTGGGTGAGAAGACCTGGCATTCCAGGTAATCCCAAAGGGGTTCAGTAGGGTTGAGGTCAGGGCTCTGTACAGGACACTCCACCAAGCTGGTCACACCGTGTCTTTATGGAGCTGGCTTGTACACCGGGGACAGTCATGGTGGAACAGAAAAGGGACTTCACCGGGTACTGATGCTGGAAGAGAAGACCTGGCTCAAAATCATTGTTCCAATTCATTCCAAAGGTGTTCAGTAGGGTTGAGGTCAGGGCTTTGTGCAGGACACTTGAGTTCCTGCACACCAAACTGGTCACACCGTGTCTTTATGGATTAGTCAATTCCCAAATCTCATCAACTTCTCACCATCCCCATCTCTCCTCATCCAATATATGATTAGCCCCACTTTGCTGCCAGAACATCCTACACTCTTCTGAGAAGACTTTCAACAAGATTTTGAAGGGTGGGAATTCGTCCCATGTGTGAGGTCAGGTCCTGATGTTGGATGGGAAGACCTGGCTCACAATCGGCATTCATCCCAAAGGTGTTCAGTAGGGTTGAGGTCAGGGCTCTATGGTGGACACTTCAGTTCCTCCACACCAGGCTGGTCACGCCATGTCTTTACGGAGCTGGCTTTGTACACAGGGGACAGTCATGGTGGAACAGAAAAGGGTCTTCACCAGGTATTGATGCTGGAGGAGAAGACCTGACTCAAAATCATTGTTCCAATTTATACCAAAGGTGTTGAGTAAGGTTGAGGTCAGGACACTTAAATGAGAACTATGGGGTTAAGGCTTTTCCCCATAGTTCTCCTTACGGTAACGGGAGGACACAAACTAGCGTCCTTCAGTCACCCTAAACTCAGTATACCGCGAGCTACAGCTCCCTATATACTGAGACGCCGCAGCTGAAGCGGATCCCGACAATTATGTCTGGATCCGCCCAGCTGCGTGAGTGACAGCTGGCTCTGCCTATCCAGAGGCAGAGCCAGCTGTACCCGCCCCCGTCCGTTCCGCCAGTCAGCACTGGCGGATCAGAGCGGTGAGTCCAGCCCCTCCCCTGTCATGGCAGAGAGCTGTGACGGGATCGAGAGGTGAGCGAACGCCGGTATGTGTTCCCTCACTTCCCGATCTACTGAGCCGACCTGTGACAGTTTCATTGTCACAGGTCGGCTAGAACTATGAGGAGGAGTGAAAAGCACTCACCTCATAGTTCTCCTTTAAGTTCCTGCACAGCAAACAGGTCACACCATGTCTTTATGGAGCTGGCTTTGTACACAAAGGACAGTCATGGGGGAACAGAAAAGGGTCTTCACCAAACGATCACCATAAGGTTACAATTGTCACAAATTAAACGTCTTTGTATGTTGTATGAATACCAGTACCCATTGATGGACCTGTCATTAACAAGCCCTCTTTTTCCCTTCCCAGGCCATGAGTGGTTACTTGCCGGGCAGAAAACCTACGGGGAAATTCTGAGCCTGTCCAAACCGAGTCAGATCGAGCTCTCCATCCCGCGGGAGTTTTCCTCCCCTGAGGCAGTGCTAAAAGTCGGCGTCTGCGTGTATTTCTGCACCGAGGACAGCAACGTGTGTACGATGAAGTCCGTCTCCTTTACTCATCCTTTACAAGTGAGCGTTGATGACACCGGCTACCCACCCGCTTTGGACCTCGCCTACAGCTTTTAAGATTTGAACACAACTTCCTGTGCGCCAAAGTTTGCCTTTTGATATGGGTTTTCTTGGGACACTATGAGAGCACAAGGTAGAAAAAAGAGGCCAAAACAGCCCAGTTTACAAAAGTGCAGTTTTAATGGGGGGTTTTGCCCGCTGTATTAAAACTGCACGGTGACTAATTGTATTTGCTATCCACTTTTGGGGAGTCCAAAGTCCTGACTGCTGTGCGGAATTCCTTTATAGAGAATAAGAGAGATTAGAAGCCGGATTACACAAGTACTTAAAGTGCACCTTTACCTAGGCTATGGACATTTTATATCTATATTGTAAGCAAGTGCTATATGAGCTATGAAACAAGTTCTCACTGACCTCTGTAGCTGCAGGCACTGTGGAGCAATTCATCCCGAGTTAATTTATCCCAGCACTGACTTAGCCGCTCACCTGCCCACTCCAAGCAGTGACTCTGCAGCCCATCTACCCCATCCTAGCAGGGAGATCTTCAGGATTTGTTAGCTCCCCATCCCGGCAGGGACTCAGCCGCTCAGCTCACCCTACTCCTCCCTCCCATCACTGACTCAGCAGCTAAGCTCGCCCTACTCCCCCCCCCTCCCAGCATCAACTCAGTAGCTCTGCTCCCTCATCCCAGCAGATCAACTCCCCTCTTGCAGCAGTGACGCAACAGCCTTCTAGCTTTCTGTTCTTCATTGTAAACAAAGAACAGGAGCTCTGGGGGTGGGGTGGGGTAAGCAGGATGACTTGAGCTACTGAGGGGCCTGTTCACACCAGACACAGTGCATTCCGGCCCGATTTTGGCCAGAACGCACTGGATCGTATTGTGGCTGGCTCATTTTGTTGTGGGGTGGGAGGGGGCGTGGCGGTGCATTTACCTTCATGGCACCGTAGCCACGCCCTCCGGGCACAATGCGATCGGCCGCACGGGAACGCAGGGCACATCAATAAAAAAAAGCCCTTTTTTTCTACGACCAGACTGCAGGCATCGATGTGCCTTGCGTACCCTTGTGGCAGGAGGGCGTGGCTATGGTGCCATTGAGGTCAATGCAACGCCACGCCCCCTCCGGCCCCACAACAAAGTGAGCCGGCCGCAATACGATCCAGTGCATTCCGGCCAAAACCAAGCAGGAACGCACTGTGTCTGGTGTGATCGGACCCTGAGAGAGACACTTCAGTGCTTTTGCTGTGAACTTTGAGGATGAATTGCTCCGCAGTACCTGCAGCTACAGAGGACTCATCTTAAAGCTTATTGCCCGCAGGCAAATACTTGAACATCCATCGCCCAGCCACAGGTTTACTTTAAGCAGCAAGAGTGTAAAGCTCGACTCAAAAGGACTTTTTCACATCAGCACAGAGGACTTTCCCCCGTGTGTCACACCCGTTGCCTTTCCCCCTGTGGAAGATATAACTCAGCACTTAAAGCAACCTTACACAAGTGCCTTAAAACGGACCCGCTGGTCAGACACCCTGGAGGCAGCCATGCTGGGGACTAAGCCAGCGTTTCAGATAACACAAATTGCCTTTTTGATAGTTAATCGAGGCATCGTGCCCCCCCCCCCTTTCGCCCCGGCGTTTGCTATCCATAACAGGAACAAGTGGCCGCAGGTCCGGGTTGCATTCAAGAATTGTACTCCGGTGGACCCCAAAATCTGGGCATGTCCTGAGGACAAATGTTGACTCAACCCACACACGTCACACAATATGTCTGCCTCCCAACCGGGTCGCTGTAACACTGGCTTAGTCCTCTTTCTGTGGTGTGTCAGTGACAGGTGCTCTTCACTCTTTTCTAGAACCAAAGCGTAGCTGTAATAATGTTCCGAATATATCGGACCAGCAGATGCCGGGAAAATGCACACAACTTGTTAATTTATATTGTTCAGCTAGAAACTTATTTCAAACTGTATTTTTTTTTGTATTTGCAATATTTAATCATATTTAAGTTGAAACAGTTTGGGAGGAAGTATCGAAGCATTCAAATCGGTGTACACTGTGGAATTAAGGAGGGTCCCCCGGGCAATGCTGCGGCATCTGTACACTGAGGAACCCGATTCAGAGTGTTCAGAAGACTGTAGAGAGGATGAGAGGGACACACAACTGATATGAGTCCAGCAGAACTTAATGCGATAAATAATAATTACCTCCTCAGGATCCCTCCAGTCTTATAAGTAGTGGCCCCTACAAGAACAAAGAACCGACCCTTGGCCACCAGTCCTGGGAGAGCCGACCCTTGACCACCGGGCCTGGGAGAGCCGACCCTTGGCCACCGGCCTTGGGAGTGCCGACCCTTGGCCACCGGTCCTGGGAGAGCCGACCCTTGGCCACCGGTCCTGGGAGAGCCGACCCTTGGCCACCGGCCCTGGGAGTGCCGACCCTTGGCCACCGGCCTTGGGAGTGCCGACCCTTGGCCACCGGTCCTCGGAAAGCTGACCCTTGGCCACCGGTCCTCGGAGAGAGAGCCGACCCTTGGCCACCGGTCCTCGTAGAGCCGACCCTTGGCCACCGGTCCTCGTAGAGCCGACCCTTGGCCACCGGTCCGGGGAGAGCCGACCCTTGGCCACCGGTCCGGGGAGAGCCGACCCTTGGCCACCGGTCCGGGGAGAGCCGACCCTTGGCCACCAGTCCTGACAGAGCCGACCCTTGGCCACCGGTGCTGGGAGAGCCGTCCCATGGCCTCCAGTCCTGGGAGAGCCGACCCTTGGCCACCGTTCTTGGGAGAGCCGCCTTAGGGAAATATAAAATAGGAAGCAGATAAGAAATTTGCTCTGTAAACTGTATTGATCATCTGACTTCCTCCAGATGCCCCAACAGACAAAGGGGAACCTGTACTGTATTTTCGTGTGTGTGACATTTTGATTTGTTATCACGCTGTGTGCCTGAAAGTCATTTTTCATGTATTTCTCGTGTTTACTTATTATTATATATTTCATTATTTCACAGTTGTATTGCAAATAAAAATTTACAGATCCTCCAGTGCAGGAGGTTGTTAAAGCTGAAGTTTAATCTTATACTTTGCCCTCCCTGGTCACCGCTCCAAGCCCAACCCCCCATCCCGGGATGGACTACAATCTCATCTTTAGTTTACTGATTTGTATTTAGATTGTAGTCCAGCTTGGAGCAAATCAGTCCATCCGCTGTCAAGAAGCATGCCGATAGAAGGAGAGAGCAGGGTTGTCAGGGAGATGAGCTCATCACTTTGCTGTTCTTTCTTCACTGTCCAGCTATAGGCTGGGGATGGGTCCAGGATGGTATGGACGGGTTGAATGGTACTGGCCACCAGATTGAGGACATCTAGCAACAGACTAAAAGTACTTCCGTGGAAACCTCTGGATTGAAGCTGAATATTGCAGCATTGTAGCTATTAATGGGCTGTTCATTGTTATGTTTGGCTGGAGTTCTGCTTTACAGGTGAAACTCGAATCATTAGAATATCGTGCAAAGGTCATTTATTTCACTAATGCACCTTAAAAGGTGAAACTAATATATGAGAGAGACTCATTACATGCAAAGCAAGATAGTTCAAGCCGTGATTTGTCATCATTGTGATGATTATGGCTTACAGCTCATGAAAACCCCAAGAACCCCAAATCCACAACCTCAAAAAAGTAGAATATTACATGCAATCAATAAAACAAGGATTGTACATAGAACAATATCGGACCTCTGAAAAGTACCAGCATGCATATGTACTCAGTACTTGGTTTGGGCCCCTTTTGCAGCAATGACTGCCATTACTTTTGCATGATATTCTAATTATTCGAGTTTCACCTGTAATTTGTCATTGTCCTTCTATTGTGTATGAGTAGTCTCCGTAAAAAAGCAGAACAGCCCACCTAATATCTGTGGCCAGGAGGCCCTGTTGGTAAGATGTGTGCGCCGTCCTCAGAAGCTGCTTATCATAAAACATTCATTTCTAACCAAGGAACTGGCAGGTGTCCCGGGTTACATCATCATTTCCATGGTTGCACAATAGTCTCATCCCCTCCTCTCCTCAATGTGCCAAACTGTCATTCATCATCTTCTGTTTGTCGTAAAGAGCGAGCGTTTTATAATTTCCAGGTCCTACAAGTTATGTGGGAACTTAATACTGACCACCAATGTATGAAGGAGATATGGGCGTCAAATACTTCAGGTTCCTCCACATTTTATCTTCTCTCTATAACTGGCTGACCTTGTGACCTGTAGATCTGATTTTTAGCCCTAAAAATTATCTCAAGGGTTCCTCCTTGGTATAGAGATTGAGGGAGGCTGGTGTAGACCCTTGCTTGGCTTGACCATGGAGGCCTCAACTCCTTTTGAAGGATACCAAGGTGTTTCTAGGCCAGATAGGTGAAAGAGGTCCTCAACCTGGTTCGGTACCCATGCATCGGCCTTCCATGGGGACTACGTCCCCTGATAGGAGCGTCGGGCTCGCCCTCTTTTTTCCTGTTCTTTTTCTTACTTCCTTTGACCACGAGACGCAGCTACTCTCAGGAATCATAGCTGGCCAAGGACCTTCCCTATCAACAGGGATCGATGTCCGCAGACTCTTGGAGGGAAGAAATAATTGTGTACTGGAACTGCACACTACATGTACAATACGGTATAGTCCGTTTTATTGTGGAATCCGCGGACTTTGTATACCTACTTCCCATACTGTTATTGTATTCTTTGGAATTGTTTCAGTCAATAAAGAATAAAAAAAAAAAAAGAAAGTGGTCCTCAAGTATCTCCTGGAGCTTCCACCTTGTGCCATGCCTGGTAGGTTCTCAGGAAGATCCGGATAAGATGCCCAGACTGCTGCAGTTGGCATCTCTGAAATTCACAGTAGAAGACGCGTTCTAAAAATGTTCCACCACCGTGCTCCTCAACCAGCAAACCTCCTGAGAAACCATCTCCACCACTCATAGGTCCTCCGTCCTTATTTATAGTCAATGGGATATGATGGACAGCGGCGTGGGAATTGCCTGGTAAACCTCGAACATCCTCTGCAACATGAGGTTCTTCTTACCAAAAATGAGCTTCTATTCCTCTACCGGCCGAGTGGACATCACCCCATTATGGGACTGAGCAGCCTTGGCTGAGCTGATAAAGCCGCAGCCTGGAAGAATTA